TGGGGGAAGGACCTTCCTGGCTTCTTCCGGCTTCTGCTGGCTGCGGGCTTCCCTTGGCTGGTGGCCGCCTCACTCCAATCTTGCCTCTGTGGTCATATCACCTCCACCTCTGTCTGAAGTCAAGTCTCCTTCCGCTCACCTCGTTTAAGGATGCTACGGTTACTTTAGGGTCCACCTGGAAAGACCGGGTGTTCTGGTTCCCTAGTGCCACTCTGACGGGAATATACCACAAATGGGAGGCTTGAACAAACAGGAGTTTATTCTCTTACAGTTTGGAGGCTTTAAGTCCAAGTTCAAAGTGCCAGGCTCTAGGGGCTGAATGAAAGCCCCTCAACCTTGGGGTCCAGCTCTGCCTCCTGCTCCCGGCCCACTGGAGCTAGAGGCTTTTCTTCACTTAGCTGCTGGCTGCTGAGGCTGACAAACCCAAGGCTGAAAAGTAAAAAGGCACAGTCCTGATGTTACCAAACCACACAGCAGGCCATTGATTCAAGTCCATCGAAAGTCCCAAGGTCAGCAGAGCATGGCAGGCTGCTGAACAACGACACGGCTACATGCAGGGTTCAAGGTGCCATAAGCTATAGACCATTCCCCAAGGCTTCTCCTTATATATAGGAAGCAGACCACATCCAAAAGGCAGCTACTCAGCTGCTTACAGTAGATTCCACCATGGAGTTGATTGCCAGTCTCATCATGGGGAATACTACATCCAGCTGCCCAGCCACTCAACCAGGCCCAGCCAAGTTGGCACACAAACTGAACTATCACACCAGGAAAATCTCCCCTTCTCAGACCCCTAACCTAATCACATCTGCCAAGACTCTTTTCCATGTCAGGTAACCTTTCCAGGCTCTGGGGATTAGGACACGGGCATGTCTTTCAGGGGTCTTTTCCAGCGCCCACCTGCCGCCCTTTTTGTCATTAGCTTGCATCCCCAAATGCTATGTGGAGTGTCTTACTCTTTGTCTCCTCTCCCCCGATAGGATGTAAACTCCAGGAGGGTCGAGACTCTTGTTTGTCTTGTTCAGTCCTTTCCCCCGGGTGCCTCTATCAGAGCCTGGCACATTACAGGATGAAGGAGGCAGTGGGATGGAAAACCTATGCCGAAGTACAGTTAAGTCAAGAATGCCGTTGTTGGTTGCCTTTGAGTCAGCCCCCCTCACAGCATGACCCACGTGTACAGACCTCCTTGGCTGTCGTCTTAATGAAATCAGATTGCCAGGACTTCTGTTCTATGGAGCCACTGGGTGGGTTTGAACTGCCAACCTTTAGGATCACAGTCAAGTGCAAACCATTTGCACCACCTGGGGACCTTTAAGCCAAGAATCACCCAAAACCAAACCCACTGCCGTAGAGTCAGTTCCAATTTATATGACCCTAAAGGGCAGAGTAGAACTGTCCCATATGGTTGACAATCTTTATGGAAACAGACTCTCTCATCTTCCTCCCACAGAGCAGCAGGTGAGTTCAAACTCACGACCTTTTAGTTAGCAGCTGAATGCCTTAACCACTATGCCACCAGAGCTCCTTAAGCCAAGAAAACTGAAGCCCAAATAGCACCCCTGTGACTGGTTATCACTGGGCAGATACAGTTCCGGCTGGTGATACGTTCAGGAATAAGGGCTCAGAGAGCAGAGGGGCTCTTTAGCGAAGAGTTCTTCATACTCTTACTGGTTTTGTCTGTTAGCTGCTGTCCCATTAGACACAAAAGAGACAGTCTCCCCTGCCTGGGAGAGAGAAGCTTTGCCCAAGTGCCCCTGATGACCTGAGAGGCTGCAGACGCCAGGGCATGTACCCACAAGGGAGGCTGTGTGAGCGCGCTGAAGTCACAGACGCAGGTTCAAGTTCTGCACGGACTGGCTAGTGTTGAGACGTTGGGTTAAAAGGAGCATAGAACAAACTCTTCAGGTTCTTGATGGCCACGGTGCTTCTGCAGAGCCAGATGGCTACAATGTGGGAAGTCCATCATGAAACTGAAGATTCTGAAACAATCAGCCTCCTGCCCCCCAAGCTCTTACCGATGTCAGCCTGTGCCTTAACCATTGAACCATGGCAGCCAATCACATCCCCTTCCTGCGACCATCCTGTTGTCCGTAGCATGCCTCTGGTTTCTCCTGGATCTCCCACAGGTCCTCATATTTGCTCCCAATTGCTTATTCCTTCCCCATATGAATCAACAAGGGGCTGAGTGGAGGAAAAGGTCCCTGACTGATCACCAAGGGATGGGGAACTTAGCAGTTCAGGAATAGTTCAGATGACAACTCCATGTGTTTGAGAGTCTCCAAAAGGGAAGGTAAAT